GCCGCGCATTCCATTTCCGTTCAGAATCGTGGTGGCTTCGAATGCGAATTGGTTTATACAATGACTTGCAAGGATAACCGTCGTTTATTCTGGTGTTTTTCGAATCCCATCTGGAACGCTCTTCTAGAATATGTGTGGCAGATGGCCTACGAGATCGCTTGTAGAACGTGACATCCACTTAGTGGCGAGGCGCGCATCACGTACAAGGACCTGAAAGATTTGTTGTTCTGCAATATGCCGAATCACCTATCTAGGAGTTACAATACGCTTCGCCGGAGTTCGGAGTATTAGGCAAACGGTATACGTAGGTTAAATGCTGATCAAATTTCACCCGGAATTTCGTTTGATCCTTTCAGCGCTGGTTGGTCGAAGATCGTCAAAAACTGAAAAAAAAACCCAGCTTATGCATCAGCACGCCCGGAAAGGCACACTGATGACCAAGTACGTGAAATCTCACTAAATGTTCGCGCTGGGGCCAAATCCGTAGCCCGGGGAAGGAACATCGATAAACCTTGAGCGAGTTTCAGCGAGTTTGTTTTGCTCCCCATACATTACACCCGGGCAGGACGATGCAGCTTTCAAGTTACCTGCACGGCCAGGGGATCGAATCTCGGATCAGCTCCCGCTCTGGTGAGTGAGCCTCGCATCTCTCCTAGGCCAGTAACAGATCGACCAGGAAGGTAGAAACATCGGTTTGTACTTCAGCAGGCTCCGACTTTTATTGTATAGGCCATACTGATCTAAAACGCCACTACAGTTCTGAATGGAAGTGTGACGTGTCGCGAAGTGTAGAATGCCGAAAAGTACTGATCAAAGATGAAAGCTCTACGTTTGCTTTCGCAGAGAACATCATCTTATGAAGTAGTCTTCTACGAGCAGTGGTGAGTAACGCGCACGTCAAAAATTGTTTTCCCCTTCGTAATAGTTGCCAAGAAACCAGCAAACTCATATGAATCATTTCGTGTTTTTGAAAATCGGCATTGGTGCTGGCTATGAATAACTGGGCTGCAGAATTTTTGACCCTACTTGCATCTGCATTTTGCTACTTGCATTTGCCTTTCTACGTCATGCTCTAGAAACATCAGATTCTCAGAAGTGTGCACTGCACTGGGTCTGGGCCCTTCGAATGAAGAAAAGGTTTCCGTTCATAGCTTATCCTCTCGTGAAGACGGGTAGTATTCCAGAAGGTACGTAGGTGGGGATCCCCAGCGAGGGAAGGGGTGTCGCGGCTAATGCCGTTTGGACTCCAGAAATTTCGTCCTCGAGCTAATTTTAAAAGTGGCAAGATCACCAAATCCACTAAAATCCACTAAAAACTTGTATATAGGGGTAATTCAACATCCTGATCACGAATATGACATTCATTTTTGGCGCTGGCGCTAATGGATGACACTACGATTACCTGCGCTCTGCTAAGGCTGAGCCCAGGAGGTAATCGTAGTGTCCCCGCTTGGCGCCAGCGACAAGAGTGAATGTCATATTCGTAATCAGGATGTTAAACCACTCCTCATTATGCCATAGTTTTTTAGCGGCATTTGGTGACTTAGCGCCAATTTGAAAATGCAGGCTCGTGAAGACGAAATTTCTGGAGTTCCAAACGGCATTAGCCGGGTGCGGCGCTTGCCTTTAAGAAAAAAAATTTTTTTTGACTTTTCTTCGTTTTGTCCTGCTTAAAGTGTAATACATTTCCTTCCCCCTCCCCGTTCAACGGTAATTTAGACTTTGAGGAGAAGGCGAAACGAATCAGAATAGTGGTGTGAAAATCTTTTGTAGTTGGAATGAAGAACGGAGAAGGATTTTGCAGTTTTTTTTGGGCAGGACGTGTCCTTAGTAATCAGTACATACGTGGCCTGCCCGTGAACCATAATGCGAGTGGATTTTTCATTTCTTCTCCGATGAAATGGAACTGGTGGTTTTCGAGGGCAAAATTGACTCTTAAATCTTCATTGATGTTCATCAACAATAAATCCGCCTGTTTTGTCTATTCTATAAAAAAAGCATAAGCTAAAATGGTTAAAATTTTCAGGTTCCATTTCCACTTCGAATAAAATCAGATTTTGATGCAAAAATTGTTTTTGGGAATAGTTATGGTGTCCGCATTGAAAAGGGACATAATCCTCCCTTCGCATGTGGCCCGGCATAGATTCCATTTGAGCGATCGGCCATCTGTAATTTCGATGGATAGCGGATTGTCAAAAAGAACCAGTCGGCTTACGGCGATTTAACTGACCATCACAACTGCAATGGACCAAAGCTTTGGATTATTCTGTCTGCCCTCAAGAAACACGAGAAACAGGGATCCTGGCAGACCTCGACATTTTGTTGGCTAAGAAGTCATCAAAGATTTGTGAAAAGCTAAAGAAACAGTTCCTCTGAAAAAGTCGCTTGGAACAGAAGAAACCCTTTCACCAGATTCTTTGAAATGGTCTAGTTTTATAGCAATTAGCATCATAACGTTCTGCAGAACGAACAGCAACTAAACTGGCTTGTGGACTTGACTTGTGTAAAAGCTGCCTAACTCAACGTCAACTCGGTTCAGAGACAGTCGAGAGGATACGCTAGCGTTGCTATGGAACAGGCCACTACTCAAGCGCACATCCGTGATTAGCGAGGTACCCTCTTTACTCAGAGGTATCCTCTTCAAGTAGAACCGTGGATTCGCATCGCCAGCGATGTACCTTTTTGCCACTTTCAAGTTGCATGGGAAGAGGGCTGCAGGCTCATCGCCTGAGGCCATGTCGGCTCAATTCGCTCCCAGCATCCTTATAATGCAGTTGTGCTCTCGCTTCCGTGGCTTTCTCATTTCTCTCTCCAGCGCTCAGTGTATCGCCGTCTCTCATTACAGTCTACTTGACCCTCTTGTACCCGTCAATGATCATGGCCAAGGAGCGCCTTATTGGGGTTCGTTTTCCTGGTTTCTCCTTTACAAGTAAATCAGCTAGCAGCAGCAGTTTTTCACCCATATGGTAAGCGTGCCGCATTCCAGAACAGTCACGGGATAAACCATAGATAGGCGCAGTTCGGCTTGGTGGAGGCACCAAATGGTGCTCGGCGAAGCTTGTGCAGGGCACCTTGTGGACCTATAAAGTTCCGTCACAAAGGTGGTCCCTTGTACCATCGTCAACTAGCAAACACAAGAAACTAGCGAAAATGCAAATGCCCCTCCCGAGCCGAATAGCGGTCACACATCACCTTCAAATCTGAACTGCGCCCTACTGAATAATCGTTATTGTTGACGGTACACCTTCGTTGATGAAAGTAAAAACTAATCCGCGCTCCATATCCCACATGGCAACAAAAGAAGACATTTCTTCAGCAGGTGTAAGTCGATAAGTGATCCTTTGTTTACAGGTATAAATACAACACTAAAACCACTTACGTCCATCTCTATTGAACCTAGTAAGACGAGATTAACGCAGTGTAAGCGCTTCGACGACGCCATAGGAAATAAAAATGAGGGGCAGAGAATATAAAGTACCTTCGAATTAATTTTTATCTCTGCACAAGACCTCTTCAAGGCTTGTCTAGTTGGATTAAGGGTTTAAAAATGGACATAGAACGAACCATGCAATTGAATGTTTCAAAATGTTCGAGAAGCCATTCAGCTGCTGTATTTATTTCCCCCGCAATATCAGAGAGCATGAGGGATGTGCCGCCAGTAAATGAGTGACGGCGGTGCAATTTTAATATATATTGCGAAAATTATACAGAACGCGCATCCTTCTCAATATTCGAACGAAATACGCACAAACGCCGTTTCCATTTGGATATGGAGGGAGACGGGAAGAGAGCCGTATTGCCGCTTCGTTGCGCAACAGAGCGCGACGTATTTTCCACAGTATTGACTAATGTCTTTGCAATTAGGACCATGATTTCATGTAGAACAGAGATGAGACACTTATTGTCTATTTTTGGTCAAAGCATTCGATTATCCGACCAATACACCTACAACTGTCGTCAATGGCAGGCGACGTCGCACGCGACGACTCCACTGCGCGGCGAATCACGACTGCATACGCCGAATGGAGTAAACGTTTTCAGCTTCTCCCAAAATTCAGTAGTAGTATTGTGCTCCAGGGCGTTCTGCTACACATGCTATTAACATATTATTTCCTTGATCGAATCGATGTACTATGAAGAATGCAACAAAAACAACAATTCTATCCAACCTATCAACCTACTTACAATAAGTAAAGAAATGGAAAGTCATATGCAGGGAACTGTGTAACAACAACTTCAAATTAAAATCTGTATGATAGCTGAGCGCCGAGAAATGGAGGAACATTATGCATCTCACAACTGAGCACATTCGCAAACTGCTTCCCACTTCGGCAACGTTCATCATGGGAAAATAGCCGACATGCATTCGGACCATAAGTGGCTTCAGCTCCTTCAATGCCACACCCGACTACCTTAATGTGGTTTTTAGAGATCATTTTGATTGTAACAACTACTGTAAAAAAGCTCCCACTTAATCAAAATGTTGATAGGGCAGTGCCCTGTGGAGGTGGTGTAGAGCGGCAGCTTTCCAGGCGCGCCTTAAGGTTGAATTTTCGATGGGATTCGCCAAGGCTAGGAACACTTACACCAGGGAGGTAACTGTACGAGATCGTGCTAGAGGATAAGCAACGCTGAATTATAGCTAGACCCCAATCTGCCTGCCCAATGCATTGAAAGTTGCATTATAAGCCACCACGGCTCTGAATGGAGACAGAATGCGCGCTGCATCCCGAAAAGGGATCGACCTACAACGAACGTTCCATTCTTTATCCTTAGCGTATCCTTACTAACTCATTTTGCCACAGACTTTATTATTTTAGTGTTGCAAAAAAGCTCATAGATTAATTAAGAAAAAAAGAGAATACAAGCACGAAAGTCATTGTATATCAGTAACATCAAACAGCAAATCATTGTAAACGTAACCACACAGCAAACGTTCAACTGTCTCCTGGTGCGGAAAAAACGAGTGTTCGTCTTGAGAGGTACGCTTCTACACTTCGCTAGTCTATTTGATAATTCATGTTATGTGAGAGATCCTTTTGTGATCCTTTGAAGACCATTGACTCCTTAAAACGTGAATGAGACCCCAGCAAGAACCCCGTCAAATCGGCAAATTCGACAAAAAGTTCGAATCATGAACCTAATTTGAGACTTTTCAAAAAAAGAAAATTGGACTATGCTGCTGTGGAGCATTTATTGTGCCGGCTAATAAATTCCTTGAAGGCACAATGACAGCTCACAAAAAGAGTTGAACCAATACATGTATACTTACATGATCGTACCAACTCAAGTCGGTGTTGCAATTCAGCGCCAAGCCATGATACGAAACTCCATGGAAAAGCTATTCCAGAGCTGCGAGTTTCGCTGATTTTTCATCTTAGCCATACGTGCATAGCTGCTAGATCGGATTAGCTACTTTGGGTACTTTGTTTTACTGGCTAAAAATGAAATTACCACAGCTCGGCATAAGTATTTAAGGAGGTGAAACAGCAGAAAATATACGACCATACGCTGTATGTTGTGTCCTGCCAACAACTTGATGCCGAATCCTCCGTGCACAGTTGATTAATATTAAAGATAAAGGCTGAAGAAAATTCATATAAGTGGGTTTTCTGCCAGGGCGCTGAAGTTCTGTCTGCTTGTTCACTAGGAAAAAACTCTCTATAAACCTGTATATAGTCTTGCTCGCTGCCAATGATGGGCCGTGGTCATCAGGTGGGACGGGTTGGGCATTGTTCACAGTCTCCAGGCCCTGACGAAACGGCGGTTGGGAGAAAAGCAATAAATAGTCATCGATCGGAGAATCGCCCAACCGTCCAACCGTCCAACCGCCGCGGTTGGGCGAAAAGCAGTAAATGTGTATCGATTTCGCTGGCGAAAAACGCCACCGCGATGGAGCTAGCGTTTTGTCGAAGGCGAAAAACGTCGCGGTTTGGCGAAACGCCCGTCGATACGTACCAAAACCCTTTCGCCCAACCGCCAGTCGATATGTATCGAAAGCTTTTCGCCGAACCGCCGCGTTTCAGAGAAACGCTGGACCGCAGAGTGTGAACAATGCCTTAGGCGTAGCGCCAGTCCGTTTTTTTAGAACGGGATGGCGCCGCGCCGAGCCCATTCCCCTGACACGCCTCATCCGCAGCGAACAAGACTGTGAGCAGCTCGTTGTACCTGTTCCAGCATCTCGACATATCGCCGAACACCAACAGGTCGTGGAGCAATACGTTTCAAGTCAAATATGGGATACATTACCAGCTGTCCTGGGCCATGAAATGTTATGAGACCACCTCGTGACGTTCTGCAAATAGACCTTGTCTGATGAGGGAATACGTCAAAAAAAGAAAGGTTTGCTGCAAAATAAAAAAGAAAAAAAGAAAGAGAGACCAGAGCACTGTACCTGTAGAAGTCAGCACCCAAGGCTTTCAGACGAATTTCCTCTTCTTGTGAATAAAGCTTAGATCGTATGCCTACAGTATAAACGGGTGTGTGCTCTACTGCCAATATATAATTTCTGAAAGCCATGATTAGTATGCATCGCATCTCTATAAGGAAGCTACCAAGCTGCTGCAAAAATTTTTGGACCGTACAAAACATTTACAATGTTACCATAGGATATCTTCTTTTCTGAACCAATTCGAGCAGAATTTTTCGAATATTCTATAAAATATGAAAAATGTTGCTAGTGACACTGACTTTGGTTCTGTTCTCAGCAAAATGTCCCTGGTTTCTGAACTGGCACAAAAACTTCTGCAACAGCGTTACAAAATCCGAACAAAAAAACTTACAAGGCACTCTCATTCTCCTTTGCTTTCTTCACCAAATCAAGAAATTTCTGCTGCTCTTCAAGTCCCTTTGCGTATGACTGTTTACCGAGATTTACAACTTTGAATGAATGTTTGAGCAATAATGAGTGACGCATAATGAGAAGAAACCTCCAGAAGTTCGGTTACTTCCGCCGAGGTATTGGAGCCGAGACACTCCGTAGACGTTCTTCTCGCGGCCTTGAAACAAACTAATTAGTCGAACACACCTCAGAAACAGTCCACGTGCGACTTTCTTGCAATCTTGGCATGCTAGATATCGTTTTCGTATGTCTTCAAGCCTGTGCAAGATTGGATGGTTTATTATGCTGTAGGCCCAATAAAGCCATCCAATCTTGCACAGGGTTGAAGACTTACGAAAAGGGCACCTCAGAAACGTATGTCAAAAATCAAACATTTCAATTATTACTGCTGTCAAAAATGAATCAATTTTGACTACGAGACCATTCAAGCATTCAGTAGAATGATTTTCAGAGGCATTTATACGCTGCCGCATCTACCGATGAGATCCTACTTCGAGGGCAGATATCCGGACTTAAAGGCACATTACACGCTTGTAGAATATGTGTAAGCACCGTGACCAGAGCACCGTTCTCGTTGGTGAGCATCCTATTTTTCCAGCACAGAATTAGAAGCTCACC